CGAGAGGAATCTGAAGAAGAAGTTTAAGACGGAATCAGAACTCAGTAAACATTTGGCTGAATCGTTGTTCATGACCGCAATTGGAGTTAACGATTACGTTTTCTTCTATAACAAGACAATTGATGCAAATGAATTCGCAAACAAGCTTCTTCATGAGTTCATGATACAAATTAAGGTAAAATAAATCTTAGGGTTTTCACTTTTTTTTGGGTCAATACATTGTTTAATTTCAGGTAATAATGTTCATCAACATACATTTTACTTAATTTTTTGGTTTTATGTTGCAGAGATTGCATAAGTTAGGAGCAAGGAACTTCTTCATTAACAACATTAAACCCTTGGGATGTTACCCAAACATTATAGCCCATACCGTGCCACGTGGAAGCTGCAACGACAATTTAAACCTTGTGATTTCCGTTTTCAATGCTAAGCTTAGAAGAAGCTTGTCTCATATGAAGCACAAATTCTCAAAAACTTCTTTCTTATACTCCGATTATTTCAACTTCATGTTGGGACTTCGAGGACCTTCGAGCAATCAAGCTACTTCGAATCTACTGAACACGACAAGCCCGTGTTGTCCTAACGTTTATGATGGAGGTTTAACCACAAGTTGCACACCAGGTTCGACCTCGTGTAAGGTACCAGAAACTCATATCTTCTTTGATCCGTTTCATCCGACTCAACTGGTGAATCTAATGTACGCAATTAGTTGCTTCCAGGAGAGAAAAGTTTGCCATGTGGTGAGAGATGCATTGGCTTAACTTTACTCTATACCAATCTTAAGATAAGACGAGTTTCGTTGTTTATTGCTCTAATGATCAGTGTTTCGAAACATTTTCCCTCTAAACCGTAACATTTTTGAATATTTGATTTAGTGTAATCCTTTTGGTTGATTTATCCGTGGAGATTGTATCAATGTTAAAAACCGGTCATCTAGGCGTTTAGCCACTCACATAAGGTGTCTCAAATAAAGTATATTGTATGCTCTTCTTACATGAGTAAAAAAAAGGGTTTTTTGTAAAAATTCTCCAAGTGGATAAGTTTGGGACTATCTTCGAGGTCAACTAATCCATGTAATGATAGTCAACCTGCAATATAACCTTTAATTGTGTATAAATTTTCTAGTCCATAATAATATCGTGTATAAGTTATCAAAACTACGTCGTTTTAAACATTTTTTAAAAACAAAATAATGCAAAGAGCATATTCAAACACATGAGCTCTTGCATCAATCACCACAAGAATTAGAGGCCGGAGTCGACTAGAATTTGATTGAGAAGTTTTCCAATCCAAAAATTATCTAGCCAAATCGGAATCATTTCAAACCAGTTCCTTAAGATCCAAAACTGGTTATGGAGTTTTGAGACCAAGGCGAGCAAGCGGATGAAACCTTTTTTCGATTTTGACATGTTTTTAATTTTTTCAAACATCATAGAAAGTTTCCGTTATGCCGAGAGAAAGAAATGTATCACACAAATCGCAATAACAATGTAATGCATGCACAGCCTCCTCACAGAAATCGTCCATGGTTGCTTTGTTCTGGAAATTGCTGAGAACAAATGAGGAACACCAACTATTTTTTGCTCTTCAGTTTAAGAATTTGTGATTTTATATAAAACAAAAGAACAGTTTTTCTTTTTATGCCGCAGTTTAAAAAATATTGGACTTTTTTCGGTGGTTTGATATCTGCGTAATGGAACTTTGGACAATAATACGTCTACTTGCTAGATCAAAAGGACAGTTTGGTATCGACCACTAAAAATTGCTACTCTTGAGCACAGAGTTATAAGAAAAAAAATGCTCTTATTTGAAAATGTTCCTTAAAAGATATCATATAATGCCATGTTGTTCTATTTCTCTATATAACATGTGATTCTATTTAAAAGAGATATGGAATTGAATGATATTTTGTGTTATATTTAATAAAACAAAAGCCTCGGTTTTATTTTTTTGAAATAAGCTTAAACATTGATGGAAGTTCATGGGAAGTATAGTTGATGAGCGATCAATCACAAATTCACAATTATTGTACATCCGTGAGCCATATCAATCTCAAATTTACTTTTATTGTTGAGTTTATATCATTATGGTATATATATTTGAAGGCTAACCTACAATTGTATAACTACCGCCTTTTAAAAATGCATAGCTCGGCACGCAAAGATCACCAGTCCTAAACTTCACCCACAATCTTTAAACTATGGGTTTTTTTCATACGTCAAATATTATATATACACGTGTGTGTTTTTGCATACACTGCAAGGGTCATATGCTCATTCAAGTTCTCAATTTAGCAATAGAGTTAAGTATTTATTTATACTATAGCGGTTATCATTTCGAACAACTAAGTTTTTATTTATTTCATGTCTTGATTTTATTAGCTATTGTTTTTTTTTTTTGGGTAACCAATTATTGTTACCATAGCTATTTCATGTCTGCATACAAATAAAACCTACATGCATACTTTCCACCTATAATTACTGCCAACAAAATTAGAGAATAAAAGCAGAATGTACAATCCAAAATGGTAATAATAATATATATAAAGTTGGACTCATTTTTGGTTACTAGGAAAAGTTATATATAATTTTCATTTATTATAATTAACTTTTCTAAGCCATTTATTATTTCAATTTGCAGGGTTAATTTCTCTCAATAATTTTTCTCTAGACCGGACCCAAAGAAAAGCAAGAAATGGGTTTGCCTTCTTCTCTAAAGTCGCACCTTCTTTTGCTCTTCGTCTGTTTCCTCAATGTTTCCACCATTTCAACGAAGCCATTAAGAGAAGAGGCCGTGTTTTTTGGCGGGAAATTTCCAGCTTTATATGTTATTGGAGATTCACTGATTGATCCAGGAAACAATAATTATCTACTGACACTAATCAAAGCGAATTTTCCACCTTACGGCTCTAACTTTGAAGGAGGCAAAGCTACTGGTCGTTTTAGTGATGGCAAAACAATTGCTGATTACATTGGTAAGAACACAAAGAATTATGAACGTTTTTATACTTCTTACTTATTTAGGAGGGTTTATGTTTTCAATTTTCTATATCTTGATTAATTACGTAAATACTAACCTATCTTATAAATTAGTGAATACAAGAAATGTCTTTTTACGATGGATGGAAATGTATATCTGATTGGTGGTAATTTTATGGAAGTCAGGAAAAGTAAATTACAAGAAATCGTGAAATAGTTACTTGAGTGGCAATACTTACAATATGTTACTACTTACTACCAAGGTCACAAAATAACTAAATAAAATTCATTACAATTTTTTTTTCCACTCAAATTCATTACAATTTAAATTGTTGAAGATTTTAAACCTATTTGTTATGTTCTTTTTTATTCAGCTATTTATTATGGGTTTCCTTTGGTTCCTGCTTACATGGGATTACCTGGAAAACAAAAGAACAATATTTTAACTAGTATTAACTTTGCTTCGGCTAGTTGTGGGATTTTTTCCGACACAGGAAAGCGAGTGGTAAGTTTCAATATTCTACAAAAAGATATTTGGAATATCTATTCAATGAGTTTCATATGATTGTTTGTATGAATAGGGAAGATGTCTCTCGATGAATGTCCAAATCGATCTATTCAATGAAACCATCGAGGATAATCTCAAGAAAAATTTCACGACGCAGCCAGAGCTTGGTAAGCACTTGGCTGAATCATTGTTTATGATTGGGATTGGGGTTAACGATTACGCTTCTTCTTTAACAAGAATACAACCAATCCGAATGACTTCGCTAACAGGCTTCTTTACGAGTTCTTGATACAAATCGAGGTAAAAAAATTGTTAGGAGTTTTTTCCCCTTGGCCATCACAAAATTTAGTTTCGGATAGAAATGTTTAATTCAGATAAACCAAACCTATATGAAACAAACAAATAGACCTATCCATAACCGAAATGAATCATCCTTAGAATTGTCCAATGTTTAGATTTTTCGGAAAAAATGAAACATAATCGAAACCAAACCTAAAAAGAAGGAAAAAAAAAGAGCAAACGGAACAAATACATTCTTTAAAAAGCAAACCGTAACAAACCAATATATTTATTTGAGAATTTGCATCCTATATACAAAAACTATCACTACAAGAAAATAGCCACTATTCCGACGGAAATTCCGACGGCCAATATTTCCGTCGGAATTTTNCGACGGCTTACCGACGGATTTCCGACCAACATTTAGTCCGTCGGTATTCCGTCGCAAAATTCCGACGGAATACCGACGGTTTTATATACCGTCGGTATTCCGTCGGAAATCTGTCGTTCGTACCGACGGATTTCCGANGGAAAATAATCTGTCGTAATATTCTGACGACTTTCCGA